CGCAGTGTGAAAGTTAGTTGTCAGCACTTGCATTTATAAATCTCTTTTTAAGGGCTGATTACTCTGGGCTGAAAGTTGGCAGGCAAGATCTCAGCCCTAGAGCATTGTTTGGGGTTTGCATGTTTTTAAATAACAGATCTATCTGACTGGTTTGATTGAGAGAACGCATGCTGCTACTCATACTCTTGTAACTCTAGACAGCAAAACAGACTGCATAAAAGCACGCTTTGAATATGAATTAGAAAAATTAGAGACGACTACTAATGAAAGCAGGAGGATGGGGGGCTACACTCAGGGAGGTTTTGGGGCGGTTGGTGGGGGCAGTAGTGATTTTGTTGGCTATATAGCAATCAAGGAGATGTCTCTTCCGAGCTGTTTGCAAGGTTGTGGTGTATGTGGATGCAGTGTGTATATAAATATCTTCAGACAGTTGAACATTAACTCTGCCAGTACTATAAGATACCTAAACCTGAACTGCAATGCAGTGTAAAGGTTAGCCTGATGTTGGCACCACAATAACACACATGTGGCTTTTGGATGAGAGTGGTCCCAGCTCTGCTTGGCTTGGCACCTGAACAAGAGCGGTCATGTGGTTGTGTGTACTTAGCTGCATAATCATCCTGTGGACCATTGCTGGTTTGTATCTGGTATCTTCTGAAACGATGGAATTCTTATAACAAGATACATTTGAAAATATTTGCCAATAAAGAATAGTGTTGTCAACTTTAAAACAAAACAAGACCCACAACTTTTTATTGGTGAAGGTGGTTGTCAATGTTGCAGAGGGAAGCCAGTGGGCTGAAATAGTGCTACCTGTGTTGCTCAGCCAGGTGGTCTCAGTCCTTTCTGAGAATATTCTCGTAACTCCTCAGATTAACCACTGCTGACCAGGTGCCCACAGGGACAGATCTGTATAAGTAAAGAGTCCATTGCCCTTGTTCTAAGGGGAAAACAACTGTAGTAAGGCGCTCTTCCCCTTCCTGTTGCAATTACTAATTTAGCAGACTTCATGGTTGAATGTTGTGCGGTTTCTAAAGAAACGTGTTCTTACCTGTGTTTCAAAACTTCTGGGGGGGATAAGTGTCTTGCCTACTTACAAACCAAGTTCAAACTGCTTATGATGAGCTTCAGTAAAATCCATGGAGTTTTTCTTGTATTAGGTAGTTCTGGAAATAAGTATTTGTATGTCTCAAGGGTAACTTTGCTCTTCGCATAATATATCTGAAGTTGTTGAACTTGACTAATTACTCTGTGATGACCGAATGGCAAGCCAGAAGGAAAAATAAAGATTTACTGTATGCATTTACAGAATTGAAATTATATATAGTATTACAAAATTATAATTGTGTACTTCTAAATCAATTAATAAATGCAGGCCATTCTGTAGACTGAGTAGACATAATTTGTGGAAGACACAGATTGTTCTGTGAATCTGCTTGCTATAGACTAGAAGTATTATTTAAAAGCTTATTTAAGAGACTGTGTGCCTTTGAAGGTTTTTCCTGTGGGTTTGTTTTTTTTTTTTTGTTATAATAACTTGAATGAAAAAAAAGTGCAGTCTACTTCTGACAGCTCAATGTTCTGCCATAGGTATTGCTATCTGTATCCCAAATTGGTCTGCTGACTTGGGTTTTTCTCTTGAATGTCTCCTACTTACTGCAGCAGCATGTATTTATGCAAAGATATGGTTTACCAATAAGCAATTCAGTTTATCTTTTAAAGTGGTGGGCAAGTTAACTCTTCAGGGGGATGATAATTTTTATTGCTGCATTAAAATGCCACATTTAACTTGCTCGCTAATTTGACTATTAAACTAGCATCAAAAGAGGATAAACTGTCTTCGAAACTATCAATCCTGATCTGTAGTTTCTAGTGCTACCAGATATTGATTGCGGTTCCTGTAAATAAGCTTCTGTATGAAGATATGTATCAATACTAATGAAAAACATGCTAAAACACATCCTGTGAAGAGCCTTTAATGTTTTGTGATGGTTTTTTTGTTTTGTTTTATTGTTTCTCTCCCTGAAGTAGCACTGTCTTTTCCACAAACACTGTATTCTGTGACATGATGGTCATGGAAGCCTGCAGTCATATAAGTTTTACGCTTTACGAGACCAGTAAGTGGCAACTCTGCAGTGGAAAAGTTGATGGCACTAACTTTCCAGAACAGCCCTGCACCTGAAGTCCTTTTGAAGTATATCACAACAGATGGGATTTTGCAGCAGAGCACTTGATGTCCTGGGGACTTGTAGCAGTGTGACATAGTAAGTGACGAAAATTGCAAAGGAAACTCCTGCATTTGGGGTCTTTCTGCATGGCTTACCCATTTGCAGAATGGCAATAGGTGATCGCTGTTAAAAGCACAGGACTTAGAAGGCAGGTCGAATATGCTCTTTAAACAGAGTATAATAGTATCTCACTTGTTTTGAGAGCCATTTTGATCCTTAATGAAATGGGTTTGGCATTTTAGTTATTAAAAATAATTTGCTCGCAAGGTGAGTGGATTTAGTGTAGGGTGTATCACAACAAATCTGTGTAACTGATGAGAATATGATTATTAGTCTGAGTAATCCAAACAAAGTTACCTAGAGCTTCAATCTAGACCTAGCATGTGATAAGCATCTTGTGTAATCTCATCTAAAGGACTTCTGAAAAGCTGTAGAATGATATGCTGCTCTGATTGCTGGTGGCTTGCCCAAGAAATTTGAAATTGCAATGTGCACATTGCAGTCGTCTTATCTATCAAGTTGGCTAACAGCTTGTCTAACCTTAGCTGAAATTAATGATTTAGCTGAATATTTTGTGCTTGATGGCCAGTCAGCAAATGCTTTAAAGGACATGTGTGTAGTGGAATTTTACTCTTGTTTGATAGATTCACATGTTCTTAGCAGTTTTCCTTCCACAATCCATAGATTTACAAAGTACTGGTGCTAACGCTACATACCAGAGGATGGAAGAGATTGGAGCATGACTGGGGACAGGCTGATCTTAGAAGGGAATGGGAATGTGCGAGATAAGCAGGCGACATAGAGGGATGCAAAGAAGTACCTTGGCATTGATTTGGGGATCAAAATGCTGAGTAGATAACATCATTGCTGACTGAAACACATTTGTCTTTCTGTAAAGTAAACTTTAGCTTGGGAATCTGTACTAATGTGCATGCTCAAGGTTAGTATGGACAGCAGTGGAGATTATATACAGCAAACAAAATGTATAAGAAGTCTTTTTAGGAAAACATTAATCCAAAATTTTAAAAGGCTAAAACCAATTTCTTTAAAGAATATTAAGAAGCATTCTCCAAGAAGCTTAGACACCTTCCGCAGTGTTAATGTGCATACAGCTTCCAATGCGTGGGTTTGAGCAGCACAGAGTCTACCTATTTAATACTAGCTTTTGAAAAATTGCTTTCATCCCGAGGATGATTTTTGGTTATTTGATAAAATACAAACATCCTGAATGAATTCCACACTTTCTGCCATGCAGACTCTGTGTGTGTGTTCATGTGTGTGTAACACTATGTAAGGGGCAGTATAATTTTTTTAATGTCATTTTTTGTGTGTTTTTTTGGTCTGTGTCATTTCTCCTTTACTGTAATAGTTTCTATTCCAAGGTGAGAGACAGGGTGTTAGGAGAAAAAACTTCCAGGAATATAACAGTGATGCAGTGCATGTGTTTCTTTCAAAAACATGTTTTTCATCCTGACTTTACATCAGTAGCATGAAGTGATAAGCAACTGTTCATCTAAGCTGAATATTTTGTCCTGTCGGGGATGTCAGTATGTTTCTTCAGCTGTGTGTGCAAAATATTTTACCTTCTGCATAATCCCATAATACAGATGCTTGAATCAGTTCATAGGTGAATGTCATAATTTTATTTGAAAACTTCAGAATGTATTCAATCAGTTGTAAGAAAGGCTTTTGTCCATAGCATAGAGGAGATTCCATGGAAGGTCATAATGCCAAACTGAAAGATATACTTTGTAACTCCAGTCTTTTGGAGTCAAGATGCCCTGGAAGGAGCTTATGCTGCTAAAGAAAGGAATCATAGCGTTACCTTCCATGTGCTGCAAATCTTTACTTTTTTTTTTTTTTAAGGAGATGATAGAGAATCTTACCCTGAAGTGTGGTGTTACCAACTTGAAGACAATAAATGTCTCTCACACATTGTTACAGATGCAGTACTGGGATTTCCGCATGAATAAGTAACTCAAAACGCATATTACAACTTGCTCATAGTCCTTTTAGAAAAGAAAATTAAAAAATTACCTTGCCTTTACACCCCAATATTTATTTTCTGAGACTTTATGCTTTAAATGAGCTCTTCTTGGTTTTTTTAAAGACCTTTTCTTTTTTTTTAATAACGGTGTTAAATAATAGCATCAAATTTCAAAGCAAAGTTGGTGTCAGACTTTCAACTCTACTCAGTTTTCTACTTGTCTAATCAAATAACATTTTAGGATGATGGAGCAGAACAACTTGTTGAGCGTTACTAATCTAGCAGAACTGTTGTAACATGCTGCTTAAAATTTGCAAAGATTAAGTGACTGTCAGTAGTTGTAGAAGACAAAGGTTGGTTTGTGACTAAATGCTTCTTAATGAGTTAAGTAAGTCTACCAGGTGGTATGAAGAAGTCATGGTTTGAAAACCAATCTGAGTAGTTAAGGTGAGAATCGAGTGAAAGTTTCCCGGTGGAATTTCCCTGCCCAGTGCTGTGGCAAGTGTTCATCTGCACTCCTGAGGCAGCCAGCGACTGAGAGCTGAGTGTATCTGCAAGATCACTTTATCCTTACCTTCTGCCATAATGTTTTCTCTGAACGGGTAATCTTGACCGTGTTGTGTGGAAGTTCTTTGGACCTTGGCCTGAATCGACATGGGACGTCTGGAATGGCTGTGGGCTCTCAGGAATTTCAGCAACCACTTACAGAATCTTTTGTCTTCCTGTTTCCGCAGCTTACAAAGGTGACCAGTAAAGTTCTCTCTGAGCAGCCAAAAAGCAGACAGCTCATGACTTCTGATCAGGACACTAAAGTTGTGGCTGAACCGCAGGTGCAGCAAGTACAAGAAGTTAAAGACGGTTCTCATCTAGTAAGTATTATAATTACATACTCGCTTGGTGTAAGTGTTGCATGAAACACAATTTTGATTAAGACATAGTAAAAAACTATCTCAGAACATTTTAGAAGACAGTTGGCTGATAGCATTGCAACATAAAATGCTAGAGCAGAGCTGTTGAAGGTGGCTAATTCTCCATACCAAGTAGGAGCCTCAACTTAACTTTTCTTCAGCCCTACATGGGATTTAAATAAACTGCAAGTTACAACAGTTTGTGCTCATTTAAGGTGCAGGACTTTTTAGTCTATGCAGGAATTGCATTACTAATCTTGAGTTAGGTTCTAGCTCATACATTAACTTGTGAAGAAAATGCAGGAAATGTACTTGGCATGTATCTGTAATTGAAAAAAATACAAACCCATACAAATAGGAAATTGTATCCTGTAACAGGAATTTTGCTCAGTCAGTTCTGCCAAATGGCACATGTTGCTTCTGTGCTACTGTGCAGGATCTAAGTTGCTTTATGGGATGCTTTTGGCAGATCATACAGCAGATAGTACTGTGTGTATATATGTTGCAGTAAATGTTGCATATGTCTTCAGGAAGATTGAATGCTTGATCTGTGTGTGAGCTCTACTCATACCATATTTTCATCTTTGATTGTTCACTATATTGGGAGGAATGTTTCTTCTTGGGACATCTTGAAGGGTTTGGTTTCAGTGTACATTCTGCTCACTGCTTAGCCTGTGCTATACTAAGCAGCAGATGCTTGCTGCTTCAAGTTAACCTTGCAGCAGCAGCAGATGCTTCCTGCTTCCACTTAACCTTGCAGCAAGCACTAAGGAGCATTTTGAAAGACCCTCTAAACTTGTGCTGTTCTTTGCTAAGCAAGCTGGTGGGTTTTTTGTTTGTTATTCCCCCCCTTTTTTTATTCTGGGTTCTCTTCTGCTCTGTTTTACCTTTCTCAGATGTGAATTTTGTCTATTTGACAGTAGAGGAAAAAATTGAACCCACTTTTGTGCCATACTTTTGAAAGTTGAGCTTTTGTGATTTTTTTTTTAATTTTTTTCTTGTACTTAAGGCATTAATTCCAAGAAACCACTGTGTAAGCTTGAGTAAGAGGCTCTTGCAGGTTTGCTTCAAAAGCTTTGAACTGTCAGTGCACTTACAGCAGGTGCATTAGTATTAAAGGTGGTTTGATCAGTTTTCACATTGATGCTAGTTCTTTTAATTTGGCATGCTAGAGTTTTTGTAAAGCTACATATAAACTTGGATCTAAATCTTAATTTCAGTTCTTTCATACTTATTTGGAGGAAGAGAGTAACCATTTATTTCAATTTCAGAAAATCTGTCTGTTCTTTTCCTCAGTAGCGGGGACTAATGTCAATTTGGATATCTTGGAATGTATCCATAGTACTATAATGGTGCATTTCAAATAACTAATTCTTTCGAGATTAAAGCTTTTCCTTTGCTGAATATTTTATTCCAAAAAGATGAGACCTGTAGGTTATTAAGCTTTTTAAAGTTATATGAGTATCATACTCTTACATGCACAGCATCAGAAGGTCATTTTGTTGTATGAGAATCATTGCCAATATATGCTGTTAAAAGTGTTGTTTTCAAGATGGTCCCTTCCATAATGGCATGCTTGCATGAGTATATTTTGCCCATGCTTCAGGACTTCATTTGCAAGTTTTGGGAACAAGGCTATAGTTTGAGGAAAAACTTCATGGAGTTCAGGAACAAGTCAGCAAAAAGCTTTTTTTTTGTTATATCTTTTAATATTAACAATAAATAAATTTTCCTAATTATGATTTTAATCAGTGTGTTTTCTTTGGCAGGAACAAAACTTAACACACGTTCTACTATTATAATGTTGAACAGATAGTCAGTAGTGACTGAATTAAAATAAAAGTTTTGATGTTGTGATGGAACCCTTCAGAAATCGCTTTCCAGGGTTGCTTATGTTAATGATATGGAGGTCACTTGTTTACTAACAGTTTTCAAAAGCTTAACCTCATGGTGAGGGAGGCAAAGTCATTTCTTCTGCCTTGAGGTAGCTATAAAACTATATGCTATTTAATGCCTAGTGTAGATTGAACTCAAGTCTATCTGGTTCGTTTCCAACAACAGCTCCTCTTGAATTTGGCTGATTTTAGTAGTATTAAATGGCAGAATTCCAGTAGTTTTGCACGCAAGTTGATTGAAGGAAATTGGCAACTTGAGGATCCGTGTAAATTTCTTGTTAATAGTAGCTTACACTTACAAATAGGAGGTAGATAATTTAGAGGATACTAGCAAATTCTTAGCTTTGATAAATGTGGGAGTTAAATATGCTGGTACTTCTGGCTTTTTTTTTAACTGGAGGCAGGTGTTGTCACTTCAGGTGACATCTGTCATTGGATATTATTTTTTTTTTTGTATCCTGATTCACAATTACCTTTCTGAGAAAGCCCTTGTCAGACTGGACTCAGGAAACTCAGTGTTTAAGAAATGTTTCACTCCCTTTTGACTCACTTCTCTGTTTCCTTTTCAATCAGTAACATTTTGCTGCTAGAAATTTGAGGTTACTCTCTGAGGGAAGAGGCCAAGACCCAAATCCCACAGTGGAGGTAGTTTATATGACTTGTCTCTGCCAGACAGGACCTAACTAACCTTTAGTGCAAGGCACAGTCTTTTTCCTTGCTCATTGATCCTGAACTCTTCCCCTGCCATACCCACATTGGAATATGTGGCCTTTCAGAGCACTTGCCAAGGAGCAAACAATTTTCTTTCCTTGATTGTCTGAATTGAAGACTTGATCTGGAAGTTTGAAATTAAATTTAGAAGGGATTCTTACTGTCAAGCAGCAACAGGTTCTGTGAATGTTCCAGTGGAGGATATTACCATGGGGCCATTTAAACTTGCTGTCTGGTTGTGTTATAAGCATCACCTATTCCCTCCCTAGTTGAATAATTATCAGGTGCTGCCATGGGCTTCTGTTAATGGGAATTCAAGTCAATGTGGTGTGCTGTTTTTTGTCAATGCTTATAGGTACTGTAAATAAAAGTTCAATCATATTGTTGTTGATTGCACAAGAAAAATAGCTACCAAGATGGAAAACTTAAGATGGGACTTAATTGTGCTTCCTAAAATGTTTTTCATAGGAGGTTATATGGAAGGATGTCTTGGGCTTAGAGCTGCTAGGTTATGTTGTTCAAAAATCCTTTTGCAACCAATTCAAGAATAAGCCTCATAGAATAAAAAGGGACTGAGGAAATCAGATTTACTAGCTTAATATAGGATCCTGTGTTATTTAATAATTCAAGAGGTCATAAATAGCTTTAAACAAGAGATGGGAGGATTAGACCTTAAACTGAACATGTATGGTATCAGCGTTATGAAGGATCCATACTGTTCAGTGTTCACCCTTTTTGTCACATTATTGTAGATTTAGACCATAAGAAAAGTGCTGAATAGTTCTGCACCTGTAGATGACTTCTAATGCTAATGTTTAATTGCTTTAATCTGTAAAATGTGTATTTAAACTCTTTAACAGTCCATTTAACCTTGATATGTTGGAGGGAAAGTTAAGCTATCTGACCAGCTATTTCCAAAAACCTGCAGTAGTGACGTTGCAATGTCTGTTGTGATTCTGCTCTTCAGTTTTCCCTTAACTGGTGGTGGGCATGACATCAGGTATGGCCTGGGAATGCAGAATAATCACTGTTTTTTCAGGGCTCGTTATGGTTGCATGACTTCATTATAGAAAAAGCATAAATGAAGTTAGGTATCAGAAGGTTGTAAGGACTGTTTTAACTTGTGGTACTGTAACTTTAAAGGTAGACTATATTTTAAAACTTAGTTCTGTAAGAGTATATATGGGGTAAACCCTTATTCCTTGGCAAGGAATAGGTACATGTAGAAATGAAAGTAGACAGGTAGATATACTCCTGTTACTAAGCATGTTGACTTCGTGCCTTCTGTGTAGGTGTGTGCAGGACATAGGACTAAAATACTTACTAAAAAAATATTCAGATTATGAAAGTGCTGCTTCAGAGCAGTTTCGTTTCATGGAGAGGGAATACCTATTCAGGCTTTGAGTAGATGAGAAATACACCACAGCCAAAATATATATGTATACAGGGAAAAAAAAACAAAATAAACAAAATCCACCTCACCCCACCCCATGCCTGAGCTGGGCTCTGAAGTGGCAGAGCACAAATTCTGTTATGGTGCTTAGCAAGTCAGTGGTGGTGTTTAGCTCAGCCAGAAGGTTTTTAAGACTTACTGAGTCTTGGAGGTTAAACAGCCAACCTCAGGTGATATAGCATAACAACAGCGTGGCATTTTCAGCTTAAATTTATGTTGCTGGGGTTTTTTTATGGTGATCCCACAATAAACAGTATTGAGAAATGTGACTTAATGAATGTGCACTGTGGGTGCTTAAAAATAGAAATTATAACTGGAACTCTTAGATAAAACCAAAGGAACAGGTACAAAATGTGCCTTTGCACATAAGGTGAAGGGTATGGGAAAACTGGAAGAAGTTTCTGCTTGCCTAAACTGCTTCACCCATTTTCTCCCCATTAGTTGATAGCAGAAGTGCTTGTTAAGGCACTGGAAAAGTGGACTTTGCCCTGGTCCGTCTCTGAAAGGCACTTAGTTCCTCTCTAGAAAGCACGTAGTTAGTAATGGTTAAATCACAGAGGGAAAAATCTTGCTATTTGTTTAACTGACGGGAGTTTTCTGAGTAGTTTTAAACTTCGTAAGTATTACTGTGACTTTATGCTGACGTTAAAAACAGTTGAATTGTTTGCTTGTGGCATTTCTTCAAAAAAACTATTATAAGTAACTCCCTCCCCCTTTCCCTGTACTTGGTTCCAGGGAAAGCGAAAGAGAGGAGTGACTTGGCATAGTTTTAAGTCTGGATCCAAGCATGTTGAATAACTTTGTCCCACGGGAGAATTAAAAAAAATGCAGCAGATGGCAGCAATGATGCATCAGACTTCCTGTCCTTAAGAACAATGTTTCTGGAGGCACTTTGAGGCTTCAGGGATTGGATAAGCTGGGGGGGGGCAGGGTAGTATTCCTCTCTTCTTACTTTGCAATTTCAAAGCAGACTTGCTGAGGAGGGCATGTATTCCCTAGCCAATTCAGCAATCTTTTCTATGGTCAGAGGATTAGTGGTGAATAGGAGGTTTCCCCTGAAAGTTAGCCAATACGGTTCTTTCACGTATACAAGTCTGAGTCTGCCTATGGCATTTAAGTTTATATGGCACTTAAATATACGGTAACCTGTGTTTAAGAATCTAAAGCACATTATTTTTTTGTGATTCATTTGTCCTATGAGCAGAATACTTGTCTGGGGAGAAAAAGCTGCGTTGGTGGCTATATTACAGCTTTCCACTTTTTTATGTTACACAGAGTATTTATAAAGAGAAGTAGGATAAGAAATGACTGAAAATAACTATTCAAATACCTTGCAAAAGCTTCAGAGAATAGAAGCATTTCACGCTGTATAGGGAAGAGAGATTCACCTCTAGTCTGTTTTATGCTGCTAAATGTGAACTCTACTACTATTACAGCAGGAGTGCTTCATAGTGACTGTGGTGCAGACTAAAGTGAAACATTTGAATTTCTAGAGTGCTTCTGCACTTGCTTAGTACTACCTTGTACTTGCAAGTTATTATCATAAGATTGTGAACAGTTTGGTATAGCAAGAGGTTGGTTGTGGGTTTTTCGTTATTGTTTTTTTTTTTTCTTTTTTCTCTTCTACCTGATTTTAATCCAGCCTGGTTCCGCTTACTGCGGTTCAGTGCAGCGTTTTTTTTCTCAATCTTCAGGTGACAACAGTAAACAAAAAATGCTTGCTTCTCTTTTTTGGTTCGTTACTTTAAACAGATGTGAACTTAGTTTACCAAATAGATATGAATGAGTAAAAGAGGAACTGATGCTTAATTTATTTCTATGTTGATAGTAGTAGATTTTCTGTCAGAAGTAAAGTAAGCAAAGGAGATTTAAAGGAAGAAGTGACTGTGGGCTTCTCTGGTAAAGATGGATTCCCCCCCCCCCCCAAAAAAAAAAAAATTTTTGGAAACAGCAGAAATCTTGCAGTGTGGCAGTGACAGGGACCATACAGTCAACATAGATAAGACTGAATTATGTCTTAAACCTTACATAGGCTATGTGACTTGGCATGCATGAAAGCAGCTGTAGAGCATCACAATGACAATCATGAAAAAAAAAAGTAATGATAGTGGAATATTAGAGCATGGATCTCTGTGTGTTAAGCAGCCTTTACCCTGCAAGTATAGTTTACAGTAGAAATTAAAACAGATCTCTTACTAGTTAGTTGAAAGGCAACTGCTTTAATTAGCCTTAGTACCCCTATGTACTGCTATATGAATACAGTGAAGGTAAATTGCAAAGCTAACTTAAAACTCTAGTTCAAGTACATCTTGATTAAATTTGTCATAAGGTGCACAACCAGTTGAAAAATAGCACTCAATTCAATGTATAGCTGAAAGAACATTTGAAATCGTTTAAGGGTCTGTCTTGTCTTACTTTCTTCTGTGTTTTCAGTATCTTTTAAGTAACGGAGTAGAGTGGTGCTGTAGTGGTACAGTCTGCAAGCTCTCTGAAGGATGGGGTGTAAATTTGAAATAATAGCAACAGATTTGAGAGTAGGTCTGAGTGATGTAAGGTTATGTAAAGGCAAATAAGAACAACTCTGTTTAGAGCAGAAAAGATTGCTGGGTATTTTCAGCTTTTTTATTAGGTTTTTATTTTTGAAGAAACAACCACTTTTTTAGCAAGTAAAGGGGCTTACAGTAGTATAAGTCTTCTAATGTGTAAATACATGTGTATAAAGATGTTCTAGCTGTCCTAAGGTCAGAAAGAACTGTTTACATACAACAAAGGAAACTTACGCTGGGGACAGACTGTTGGAAGAAGTAGCATTTAGTTGAACTACCTTTTAAATCTGTCCGAGTGTTTTGTAAAAGAATGCACAAATATTTTGGAGGTTAAGTATAATTAATCCTGCCACAGTGCCATGAGATGGTTAGATGATCTTGAGGCCCCTTCCAGTGCTGTAAGTCACTGAGGGATTATGTATTTTTTTTTTTCATGTAGATAACAAATAAAGAAAGGCTTGGAACAGAATTAGCTTCTGATAACGTACAATGACTGTTCAATGGAATACATGAGGTCTTATCTATCTTTAGCCTGCTTTTCCTAAAGAAGTAATCTTGGTGTAGGTTCAGCTCTGGGGGAAGGGAGGAGAAGGAGAAAATGGTCCAAAATGTGTTTGATCTAATAGCTTCCACTAGTTTAGTCTTCAAATCAGATTTAAATGTGTGAAGCCAGAATGCATTTATCCTTGTATAGAAAGCAGGAGTTGTATTAAATATGAAGGCAAGCAGTTTTTTTGTCACACAAGGACATTGTGAAAGATGTCATTTAAATATTTTAATGATTTGGATGAAGGAAACTCTTCAGGAAATTAAACAATGGAAGTTCATAAGACTTGGTAATACTTGTAAACAGACTAATCTCTTTAGGAGAGTTATTTGGCTTGAATATTGCAGTGCATGTGATGAAATACTAAAACATTGCTCGGCAACTGCGATTTGGACTTTGAGTGGCAATGACATATGAACCCCTGCATGGTTTTAAAGTGTGCTATTTTTGGCAGCTGGGTGTTGGCTTGTCTCCTCAGTAGCAGTAGAAAGTTAGTTTAGTATATAGAGGAAGGTGATTTGCAATGAGAAGACTCCTCTGACACTACTTATTGAACATGGGCTGCTGCTTCAGTAAAGAATTGAGTAACAGCAGGAATGAGGAGAAAACCAGCTTGTTGCAAAAATCTGTGGAAGAGGAAGCACCAGAGTCAAGGATAAGTAAAACTTTATCTTCAATTTTAGGAACTGTGGAAAGCCAGGATTTGCATACAGTGGGAAGGACAGTTAATGGGGCAGCTGCTATAATCGGCATTGAACGCGTTTGTAGTGATGATTGCACAGTGTCAAATTCTAAATCTGGGTTCTGGGATAGAAAAGCAAAATATCCGTCATACAAAAGCATGGAGAATACTCCCCGTGAGAGCTCTAGGAGAACGTATAACAGACCTTTTACCTTCTTTAATTCCTTTAGTCACCTCCTGAAGGTCTCTGGTACATATGGAAATCTGCAGAAAAGTGAAGACAAGAAAGATAGGGTAACTAAAAAAAGAGCACCTAAAAAATTTGGTAGTAATTGTCAGCACATGAACAATATAGAAAATAGTAATACTAATAATGAAAATGTAGCTGCAGAAGAGCATTGCTTGTTTGATCATATTTCTGCTTCACATGCATCAGGCATCCTAGACAAAGGCTTACAGGGTGAAATTTCCTTAAATAGAAACTTTCTGGAGGATTATGCAGTTACATGTGACCATTCAAGGCAGAATGAAAGAACAGTAAATGTTGAAGACAGCAAGAGTGACAGCCTACAAAAAGTTTCAAGTTCATATAGAGAAATGTCCCCATTTTCCTATCTTGATGTAGACAACAGACAAAATACAAAAGATAGGGAATTTTACAGTATTTGTGTTGTAGATGCTGAAGATCTGAAAGGGGATGAAGAGCTGCCAGCTACCGTGCATGAAGAGACTGCAGCAGACATAGATAACTCAGCTGTTACTGATGAAGGAATGTGCAGCATGGCACGACCTCTAGACACTGGGGAGGAATATCCAATGCAGCAGTCGGCACAAGTGGAAGTTAAGTTTAATTCACAGAAAGAACTGTTTGAGTATAAAAAAGAGGATAGGTCAAACACGCAGAAAAAGGAAACAAAAGAATATTGTAGCATAGACATCCAATCTTATGATAACTTGCTGGCTAACAGGTGTCAGGTGTGTAGGTTTAACACTGACAATACAGTAACAGATGGCTTAAGAGCAAAAGTATATGATGAAGTCGTCCCTGAGAATCGACAAGAGGAGGTATATACCACAGGTAATGCTGTCAGTTGGAATGAATCACTCCATAGAGCTTGTGATTCAGTAAAATTTGCAGATGGTGCTGAAGAGGACCGATACAGCCCTAATTCAGAAAACATGAAATGCAATGATTGTATTTCCAGTGCATTGTTAAACAGTAGAGCATGTAATTCAGGAAAAATTGAAGGAAGTCATGATTCTGAGATTGTACCATTTGATTTAAGTAGGCATCCCTCAAGTGTTGTAAGGGAAATGAATACTAAACAGGTGGCAGAGAACATGCGGGGTAACTTTAAATTACCATTAGAGTTATGTGAAATGGACAATGATTCTTTTTCAATGAGTCAACATGTAGAAAAACTTGCTGAAGAAGGCTGCTTCCTAAAGCCAGAAAGTGAAGTAAACTCAAATGTGGAAGAGAGAACATTTCAAAGAACATGTGATGGTAGCCAGATGTTTGCACCTGACTCTAGAGAACATCACAGCATTTTGGAAGAGTTCTTGAAAGATAAAGAGGAATGCACAGGTACAGTTTTGCATAGCTGTGAAGCTTTGAATATGACTGAAATGCCTGAAAACTTGGAAGAAAGTTCTGATTTTCAAACTCAAATTAAGGGTTGCACTGAAAACAAGACATCAACTGAAGTTGCAAACCACAGTGGCATGGAGGAAGAAGTCTGTGTGAGTATAATTGAGCTAAAAGGCGACATGCTTGAGGAAGCTGGTAGCTTGAGCAGAACTCCATCGTGGGTAAGTGATGGCACTTTGACAACTCATGAACTATATAACACAAGCACAGATGAAACGTTCCTAAAGGAAAACAGCCTAGAATCTCATATTTCAAAAGAGTCACCAGGGAATAAAGGTAAAGTATGCAAATATTCGAAGTCAGATAACAAAAACAGTGTCTCTTCTGTGTCCGTGGAACATGAGGATATGAACAAAATGGACATAAACTGTAGACAAGGTGAGCAACAGGATGTATGTTCCTTCCATGCAGTGGAAAATGAATGGAATGTGGGGACTGACTTGGCCAAAATAGCTGGGGATGTAGTAGAATCTGTAAAACAAACAAAACTTGAAGCTCACCTAAATGAGACAATTAATAACAAGGCAGAAAATGTAAAACAGAATTTGGGTACTAACATTATTGATCGTGATAAAAACTTCTTAAATTGCAATAAAGGCTTGACTCACGATCAGAATATTCACTCTAACTCCACCGTACCTGTAGCTTTGGACAATTGTATGTACGAGAGTGTAAAATTGATAGATGACACTAAAAATCTGGAAGATGCCAGTAATCTCTTACATAAAGCCCATAACTGTTTACCTTCTTTGTGTCAAAATTCATATTCTCATGTGCATGATAAACCAGTGGAAGAGCCTGAGGTATGTCACTGTGCCAGTCCAGAGCCAGAGGTCAGGAACACCCAAGTTTGTGTTGGGCCTCTTACTGAAGTAGGATCAGAAGCTCATGAAAAAAGTGTGTGCGATGTAAGTGAATGTAATCTTCAGGATGGTGAAGTAAAACTGTGTGTCAGCATCTGCTCAGAGGAGGAGAGCCTCACTAGTTTTAGCATGTCAACTGGGAATCTAGAAGCTTTTACCACAGGGAATTTAAAGCAATTGGAAGCCAAGGCTACTGAACTGAAAAACAGCAGTTACATATTAAATAATGAAATGAATGACTTGGCCACAAGTTGGGAACAGATGCAGTCAGATCACAAGATTTTCTCAAACAAAGAGCTTGGAGTTTTTGTTGACCCAAAGCAGGTAGACAAATACGCTGCTACTCCTTCCTATGAAATACACAGTGCCTTTCCTGGTGCTGCAGGATTTCAGCGAGGCAGTGAGCAGTGTGTATTGGATCTGATGGAAGACGTATCGAGTGACCAAGAGCACTCCTATGAACTGGACAGACAAAATCCCCAAGTTGAAATATGGTCACATTTCATCAGTCTTCAGACTGGCAGTGCCGATTGGACAAATGAGTTATTTTCTGACACTGTTACTGCTGGTAATGGTGAATATCTGATGGGCTTTTTATGGAATAATACAATTTCTAACAATACCGTGAAGAATGACAGACTATGCATAGTTAGTGAAAACTTCCAGAACGAACCTGAAGATCTAACAGGTACTTCGTATGCCGTGGGAAGTTACCTGCATCAGCTGCTAGCACCAGAAAATGTTGGTACTTGGGGATGGCAAGATAAAGATGAATTTGTAAGTATTCTGCAGAAGTGATTTGATGTTAAAGCTTAAAGCAGAAGCTAGGGATTGGAATAAGCCAAGTCAAACTGGTTTCATTAGATAGTTAAATATATCATGTGTTATTTTGTCCTGAAGCTGACCATTCTCTCTCTCCTTTGCAAAACCGAATGCTATACAGAATGTAGTAGTTCACAATGTTGCTGAATATTGATAAATTTTTTTTTCTTTTTTTGGTCTCTTTACCTTGTGTGAAAGTTTAAATGTTGGGCAAAGTATCTTGATTGCAGATTCTCAATTCTAGATGAACTTGAGATGAACACTTCCGCATGTCGAAGGGAAACTTTCTCCAGACTGTTAGTAGTGCTCTTGACCTTCATGTAGGAAGAAATGTTTGTGGATTTCCTGAAATCTTAAAGTTCTTGCTTGGTAGCAATTAGGAAACCTTTTGCTCACTTCTGGAGATGATCTTCTGAAGTGCTGTAGAAAGGAGTGGCTACAGGAGAAGCGTGGGGAATGAGCTAGAGTGGATTTTGGCTAGCTGGAGTAAGAAAGCAGCAAAGCCAACCTGCGGCGGCTGCTGCTCCTCTTTCTTCCCTGCTGAGCAGAGCCAGTGCTTAGTATTGTTCTCTGCACTGACTGCGTTACAGCAGCTGCTCTGACCTTGTCAGCAGTTGCAGTGCCAGCAGTGGGTTGTACTAGAGGCCAAGTTTGCTATCTCCTGGGGGAACTTTTTGTATTAAAAATGGAAACTGATGGAACTTGCTGTCATCTTTGAATCCTTACTATTCAAGTAGTTATGTTGAGCACTTCCACTTTTTATAAGTCTTTTCTCTATCGTTCAGTAGGTGTGTTTAAGTTGAGATTCTTTAGATCTTTTTACCTGCTGGATGTGTTTTCTATGCACTATGATAATGACTGAGTGCATGTGTTTCAGAATAATTAAAGCTTCATGGAATTTTGAAGTGCCTGTGCTTAAACTCTGTAATGTTCCTAGCATCGCTAAATTCGCAAAACAAATTTTAATAAGCTTTTTTAGTATGTGTTACCATGAGCAATACTCTTTCCCAGTATAATCATCATATTAAAACATACCAAAGATATTCTGGGTATGGAATAACTTAATGCATTTTGCTCAAACATTAGCAAAACAAGTGAAAACTGTCTCATGTTACTATCAAAAAAGTATTGTAGGTGTTGGCACTGCAGAGAGCAATCTCTCTGAAGCACAAATATGACCATTTATATAATGGTTATATATGACCATTAAATGTGTCCATTTCCAATCCAGGTTAAAAGAGACTAAAGTCTGCTCATTAAAGATGATCTAACTGGATCTCGTTATTCATTCTTTTTGTCCTGCCTAGGGGAAAACTAACCAAAATTTTTGTTAATGCTCTGTCTTTTCTCTCGAAGTAATGACAGAAGGTGTCATGCACATCTCATTGCTTTAAATTTTCTGTAATGCTTCCTTAAAACATGTTTATATAAGTCCAGGAAAAAAAAAATCCTGTGCTTTTGTATTTTCTTAGGGGTTTTTATGTTATTTCACAGAAACAGATACAATAACAATATAGTCAACGTTGAGTTAATATTTGTATTAGAGAACTGCCTGAAGTCTAGGGCAAGTACAGGTTGAGTTAGGCTGTCAAAGGCAAAGAATGAAATGTTTGTTGTAGTTTACACTGCTTGTCTAGCCTTTTCTGGTGATTCTTAATCAGGGAAATGAATTCTGTGCTGCACAATTCAGTTGTTTTTGTAACTGAAATGGTTATGGGATGGCAACTCAGTTAATATATATAGATGTGAAAAAAAACCTTGACAATACAATCAAGAGTTGTACATCTGATACTGTTATTTGAGACTGTATGTATATATGCACAGATGCATGCTGTGCATCCACAAAGTGCATAATCAAAGAAATTTCTTTTTGTAGGAGTCAACCAAGGTTTCTGAGTTAAATCCTAATGCAAAGGTGTGGGGAAATCATATGTTACACTTGGAAGCAAGTGGTGCCACTGATGGTAGCGTGAGCAAAACGTGGGAAGAAATACCTGACCAACCTCCAGATTCTTGTAAAGAAGGTATGAATAAGAGTTTCTAGCTGTTGCTTCAGCAAAAGTGCAGAACTTTCTCAATTTTAATTTCCTGTTATAAAAATAAAATGCAACTAAGTAAGCAACTTTACTTCAGATTTAGTGTTAACTATGATGTTACTGTGATTAGAAGGAATGCTTTTTCAGTGTGTTTGTCATCTCTGCTGCAGGACTGGGTGCTAATGGTGATGGTGACAAAAAGCATCAGAATGCAGTGCTGACAGAGCTGCAGGAGCCGTCACCAGCTGTTTCGGTGTCAGACCAGACGGATATGAACCCTTTGGCTCTCGATCATTCTGAGTATGAGTCTATACATGAAACCACCCAGACAGGTAAGAGAAAGCTAATATTTGCTTGGATTTGGTTTTAAAAAAGAAAATATATTTTGAGTTGAAGAGTGAGCATCAATTAAAAAAACCAACAAAACCAAAACAACAAACCCAAACCAAAAGAAAGGTGACACCACTTCGGTTGTTCAATATATGTGTTCTGTAAACAGACGCCAGAAGATCCTGTCTCTTTTGCTCTCAGGCTTAGACCTTTGGAAACCAGCCTCCTCCTGTTGAGTATAGGCCTTATGAGATACTGCACAGAATAGATCATAACTTCTGGATATAACTGAGTATTGTTTTCTGAAATGTTATTCTGAATGCAAGTCCCTAGTGTAGCCGTTTACATTTAGATATCTACCTAAGCTGCATGTTTCTAGTTGGTTCAGGTACTGAGGTGAAATTCACATACCATTTGTGTCTCAAGTAGTAATGTTAATGTGTCAAAAGATAAGTCTTGTAGTTAAAATGCTAAAATAAGCAACAATTTAGTCTAACTTCTTTGCATACTTTTTTTAATGAACTTTCATGGTTGTTTTCAGTGCAACTCTTAGTAGGTGTAGTATATACCAGAAGGCATGTTTTAAGAAACTTCTGGAAACTAGCATAGAGATTCAGCCATGCTTATATTTCACTGAAAGGGACAGAAGGTCTGCAAGATGGATGTAGGATTTCTACTTGAACTGAGATGAGGGATGGGAAAGAGAGGAAAATGTGCTGGGTATTTCTTGGGATTCATGAGGTCTGCTCCTTGTTCATTGTGCTTAGCTGATTTTATAACATGTATTTAAAATGACCAATATAGCATCCGTAATAGTCGGAAATCAAGACAACTGAAATCAGACACAGTTGTGGCATCATCCTTGCTTGTGTTGAAAACTGAAAGTTCTCTTTGACTCTTCTACGTAAGGGTACTATTGGGGAGTATTAAATAATAGCTAACTGGCAAATAGAAAATGATACTAATGGTACCTAGCACTCTAGAAGGGAACAGTGTTCCTCAGCTTAGTGTTAGAACTTGTCAGCCTGTCCTTTATGTGCCCAAAATAGTTAACTTTTAACAAGAGTCAAATAGTGTTGTAAAGCAGCTGAACAGCAGGTTGGATCTGTTCTCCTTGTTGAATAGTTACACAGGTGGTCCCAATTCTGAAAGCTGATTTTTATTTTTTTTAATTATTATTTTAAAAAATGCATAGAGTTTTGGTCTTTGCTAGGTTTTGAGCAAGGAGGAAAGAGGAGGTGGGGAAGGGAAGTAGTGGTTAGTATATGATGTGTGTATTTCTCAGGTGTTGGCACTATCTGTGTCAGAATAGAACACATGAAGGACAAAATGGTGGGACGAAATTAAAAGTTGCTCTAGGAACAAGAAAGGTTTAGGAGAGCTGAAGAAAAGGATGAAAGTTACTGAAGAAGGGAAGGGTGTACAGGGTAATAGTTGGTGTGAAACACTTTTTAAAAAAACTAATTTACATTTATGTAACATGTTAACTAAATGTTTTATAAATCTCTGAAAGCCACACTAAACTTCTGATCTTTAAGCAGTCCTCCCACTGACACAATTAGTTTACCCTCAACTGACTGTAGTGTATTGGGTCTAAACTAAAATAAACATGAAATCAGTGTTTTCCATGTGGTAATTTTGAAACTTCCAGGTATAAGAAAAAAATGATTGTCTCCTTCTTAACCAAGAGATTGTTAATTGATCACACATCTGTTGTTAATTGATTGGATATCTGCTGATATTTCATAGTTATATTTTTAAAGTCTTTTCTGAAGTGTCTTGGGCATTTAGAGTGAGGCCAGAAGTACGAAGTGTCTCCATTACATTGCTCACTTGCTTAGTTAGTCTGCTGCATTAGTCAGGGTTTAGTCAGCTAGGAATTGGTTAGTTTCCGAGGACTGGAAGACAAGATATACGAGCTAAATCAGTTCAGTATTTACTTTGAGATGCCTTTGTAGCTGCTCTTCTAAAACTGCTTCAAGTTTTTATGTATTTGGAGAACAGAGGTTAACAAGTGAAGTCAGTCATGGTTCTTCTTTTCTGTCTTAAAGTGCTCCTGTGCAATTTTGGTGAGTGGTGAACTAATACACAATGAACATTTATTGAATTGGAAAATTTGTTACTAATTATACAGCCAGTAATAGACATGATGGCTTGATTAAAGTATCTGTTATGTAATATAGCAGAACTAAATTTTAAACTTAAGTATTTTAATTATTAGGTGGAAACGAACAGTTGCAGCCAGAAGGTCAGGAAGATTTACGAGAATTACTGAAAAAAACACTGGAATTCTGTTTATCAAGGTATGTATACACCTAAATGTAGCAAACTGGAGGATAACTAGCGAGATCCAGTACCTAACTTGGGATGTATGTTAATATATTTCTCAGCTGTCACTTAAAACTGAGTGGAAAGGATGAGAATTTGGGGGAAGTAACACAAAATTCCAGAGTATTGTATTGATGTACATCTTAAAGCTTACATGAAACTTCTGGGCCTAAAACATAAGCTAGCAAATACATTGTTTTGAAGTGAGAGTAGTTACAAGCAATTACAGATCAGGTGAATTTTTATGACTGCTACTGTTTTTTTGCAAATTAAAACCGAGTAACTTAAGCCATTTGGTAGGCTTTGTTTAAGCTAATAATTTTAAAATTTGCATTGATACAAAGTAGGATTTTTGTATGTGCATCTGTAGATCCCTTTATATTTTAAGTTAAGGATCAATTTAAAAAAGAAAAAAAAAAGGTAAGGGCTCTGAATCATACACATTCTGGTACAGACTGAGGCAAGATCTTCAAAGCAGCTTACTTGTACTTAATTATTCTCAGTGCTTGTATCTAGATAAAAACATCCTAAACCACATGTCTTAATAACCTAGAATAATTCCTAATCTGTATACTCCTGCATAACCAGTTACAGTCAGTGGTCATTTGAAGTAGTAATCTCCTAACAATATTACATGTTTGGGTGGGGGGTAATGTGCTGCTTGAACAGGAAGATGCCAGTACTGTTGCATGAAGGGAAAAAAAGACATTTTCATGTTTTCTAGGAAGTGAAATATAGTAGGTGAATGGACTGAGGAATTGGTGAAAATGCTGAAAACAAAATTTAGTTTAGGAATCTGGCTTGTACTATGTGATGAATTTTTTGTCTCAAGTTTATTGGCAAAAGTTACATCTGTGACATTTCCCAAATTCTTTTTTTCTCTCCCAACAGAGAAAATCTTGCCAGTGACATGTACCTTATATCACAGATGGACAGCGATCAGTATGTGCCAATAATGACAGTAGCGAACCTTGATCATGTCAAGAAACTCAGTACTGATATGGATTTGATTGTTGAAGTGCTGAGATGTAAGTAAAAATCCCTCAATGCTAGAAAGCATTCTGGCTGTTGCTGTAGGACTCTTAATCTGGATTTTCAATCTCTTGTCCTTTTTCTTGTTATGTATTACAATAAAATGCCATCCTTTTTCTGTAAAGCATTAAATAGAGCACACAGCTTCCAGTTTAGACCATCACAATTAAGGACTGCAGTTTTATCAAAGCTACGTCATGTTTGAGGTATTGAGTAATCTGCGTAAATGAGAATAATGTGAGTTTAAATTGTGGGACATGGTGGGACAACACACAACTGGAGGGTTGTGATGGATGGTTATTGGCTGTTTCGTAAAGGCAGGCAGGGAAGAAGAAGAGGAGGAATCACACTCTATGTTAAGGAGAACCTTGAAAAAATAGAAGCCGGCTGTGGCAACAGTGGAAGCCCTATCACATGCCTCTAGGTCAAGATCAGAGGGGTCATCTCCAAGGGGGATCTTACAGTAGGCATCTGCTACCAACCTCCCAACCAAGACAATAAGGCCAACAAAGCAGTATTTGGGTCACTTAAGCAAGCTTCAGGTCAACAGAACCTGGTTCTTATGGGTGACTTCAACTACCCAGACATTTGTTGGAAGAACAGTAGAGCAGCTCACATGTCATCCATCGAGTTCCTGCAATGCACAGAGGACTGCTTCCTCATACACGTGTTAGATGTGCCAACCAGGAATGACGTACTGCTGGACTTGCTACTCATAAACCAAGAAAACCTGCTTTGTAATATCTCTGTGATAGCCTTGGCTTGTAATATCTCTGTGATAGCCTTGGCTTGTAATATCTCTGTGATAGCCTTGGCTGCAGTGATCATAGTATTGTGGAGTTTGGGATCCTGCTGAGCATGCTGAAGGTTAGTACTAAGACAAAGGTTTGAGATTTTAGAAGACCAAACTTCAGCTTGCTCAGAGCTCAGTTGGGAAGGATTCCCTGGGAAGCTTCCGTGGAGGATAAAGGAGTTAGCAAGCGCTGGAAGTTTTTCAAGAACGCTCTCCTGGAAGCGCAAAAACATTTCATCCCCTTTAAAAGTAAGGGAAGTAGGCAGAGCAAGAGACCCCCTTGGCTTAACTGCAGGCTTGTGAGTCTGCTCCAAGCCAAAAGAGAAGTGTACCAGAGATGGGGAAGCAGATGAATACCTTTTGAGAACTACAAGGGCATTGCCAAGGCGTGCAGAGATGCAGTTAGAAAAGCAAAAGCTCAGCTGGAATTGAAATTGGCCAAAGGTATCAAACTACAATGAAGGGTTCTTCAGGTATGTAAACAACAAGCAGAAATAGAAGGAAAATATTGGCTGCTGTTAAACAGCAGAGGTGAATTAGTGCTGAAAAGGCAGAGGTTCTCAACACTTCCTTCACCTCTATCTGTACCACCACTCTTGGGCTCCAGGCCTTGGGAACAAAAATCCAGGTTGATGCAAAAACAGACCCAGCGTCCGTGAAGGAAGAGTTGGTATGTGAACTATTACAGGAGCTTGACCCCTGCAAATCAATGGGCCCTCACGTTATCCACTCAAGGGTGTTAAGAGAGTTGGCTGATTTTGTGAGGCTGCTCTCTGTAATCTTTGAGAAGTTGTGGAGATTGGGGGACGTCCCAGAAGACTGGAAGAAGGCTAAGGTCACCCTCATCTACAAAAAGGGCTTAAAGGAGGATCCAGGAAATTATAGGCCCATCAGTCTTACTTCAGTCCCTGGGAAGGTTATGGAACTAATCCTTCTGGGGGCTATCACAAATCAAATGAAGCACGTGATTGGGAAAAGCCAGCATGGATTCACCAAGGGCAAATTGTGCTTGACAAACCTGATCGCCTTGTACAACAAAGTAACCTGCGCAGTTGGCGTGGGGCATTGATGTGGACATTGTCTACCTGGATTTCTCCAAGGCTTTTGATACGGTTTCCCGCAGCCTCCTCCTAGACAAACTGGTGCGTTACGGTCTAGATGAGTGGTCTGTGCGGTGAGTGGGGAACTGGCTGACAGGCTGCACCCAGAGGGTGGTGGTAAATAGCTCCTTTTCAAACTGGCAACCTGTCACAAGTGGGGTCCGCCAGGGATCAATACTGGGCCCAGTGCTGTTTAATATCTTCATAAGTGATCTGAATGATGGGATCAAGTGTACCCTGATGATGCCAAACTGAGTGGGGAAGCAGACGCAAGGGAGAGCCACCCTGCAGGAAGACCTGGATAGGCTGGAAGAGTGGGCTAACAAGAACCTTATCAAGTCCAATGAGGACAAGTGTAAAGTCTTACACCTCGGAAAATATAATCCAGGAGTGCAGCACAGGTTGGGATCTACCTGGCTGGGGAGCAGCTCTGTGGAAAGGGACTTGGGGGTCCTGGTGGACAGCAAGCTCAGTACGAGTGAACAGTGTGCTCCTGTGGCAAAGAAAGCCAACAGGATGCTGGGTTGCATCGCCAGCAGAGATAAAGTAATTATCCCACTTTACTCAGCATTTGTCAGGCCACACCTGCAATACTGTGTTCAGGTTTGGTCCTCACTGTACAAAAAAGATGTGGACAGGCTGGAGAGGGTCCAGAGAAGGGCCACAAAGACGATCAAAGGACTGGGAAGCCTGCCGCATGAGGAAAGGCTGAGAGAACTGGGTTTGTTCAGCCTTCAGAAAAGGCAGCTTAGGGGAGACCTTATCACCATGTTCCAGTATTAAAGGGTAGCTACAAAGAGGATGGAGACCCCCTTTTTAAAAGGAGTCACATGGAAAAGACAAGGGGTAATGGGTACAAGTTACTCCTGGGGACATTCCAATTGGACACAAGAGAAAAACTTTTCACAATGAGAACAATCAGCCATTGAAATAATCTCCTCAGCAAAGTGGTGGATTCCTCAACATTGGACACTTTTAAGATTCAGCTGCACAAGGTGCTGGGCCATCTTGTCTAGACTGTGCTTTTCCCAAGACACGTAATACCAGATGATCCTTGAGGTCCCTTCCAACCTGGTATTCTATGATTAAATTCTCAGAAAAGCCTACTGGACATTACCACTAAGGTAAGAATCAAAAGAGAACATGACTCAATGTGTGCCTTAGAAGAAAAAGCTAATGAATTGGGATTTTCTAGGCTGGAAGAGTAGGAAGAGTGTGGAGATTTCAAGGAACATGTCTACTCAGTTTCATATGTCTTAAAGTATCCTCAGTCATCTTCTGCTTGTTTCTTAATGTTCAAAAATATTTGAAGTTTAGCACAAAAAGCTTTGCATTATAAAACTGTGTCCACCACATCTTTCAGTGTGCAAAGCTATTATGATTGCTGACATCTAATACACGTTTTTGTCTTTTCTCCCTTAGCGTTGCCTTTAGTCCAAGTGGATGAGAAGGGAGAAAAAGTTAGGCCAAATCAGAATCGCTGTATTGTGATTTTACGTGAAGTACCTGAATCTACCCCCATTGAAGTAAGTGTTTAATTGTTCAGTAAAGAATGCTTTTCCCTTAGGATTTGGAAGTTAGATTTCTTCCAGATTTTAATAAGCATATCGCATTTCCTACTACATTGTTAGTTTCTAACCATGTTTCTAAACCTTAGTTTATTGTGTGTGTTTGGATAATAAATATATTTGATAGAAGCATGTTGCTTATAGGAAGCCTGTGGTAAAATCTGTAGCTCTGCAGAGGGCTGAAAAACTGACAATGCTGTGTTTGGTAGAGATACCATAATTTTCTTCAACTCTGGCTTATCCATATTACTTAGTGCTCAGCTCCTTGGATAAATAGCAAGTGAAGATGAGGGAAGATAAGTCTTAGAATGGAAAATGCCACTGCTGCACCTTGAAGCTTGTTAGGGTGAAGTACTTGAAGCTTTGCAAACATTTCCATAATGGTGAGGGTAGAGGTGTCAACAAGTGGTGAAGGATCTATGCTGGCTTGTGGAATGAGTGTGAGAGTGGAGAACGTGATTGTGTGAAATACACTCAATGCAACTCTGATGTAGCTGGGACTATGACTAATGGAAAGACTAGGAAAAAAGTTACTGGGCCATAGTATCTTGAATTTTCAAAAAGGAGGAGGACGCACAGATTCTTGATGATGGGTAGATATTTTAATTTCCCCTTTAATTTTACAAGGAGGAATAAAGATTCTGAAAGAGCTGCTCTTCTTGATGGTCTTCATACAAAAATAAAAAGTACTGCAGTTGAAAAACTCATAATAAAGAACTAAGTGGCCTTAAACAGGAGCATGAAACAAAATGCTAAAAGGAATTGGAGGGAGGAAGTTAGATATGCTATATACATAACTTAAAAATATCAGCGGCTTTTAGCTTTCTAAATGAAATATAACCTTTCAAAGACTGCCTAGCTTTTAATATTATAGATTTGGTTGGTTGGTTTGTTTTTTCTGTCATCAGTTTGTCAGGTTTGGATATATTAGCACGGGGTGGTTGCTCTTAAATGCTTAACAACAACAAAGTTCTGAGGAGTCTTAATTTTCAAAAAAGGTGGTCTGAAGTGAAGTGTTTTATATGTTACGTGTTTACATTTGCCAGACTGGAAAATCTAGACTTACCTGGCCAGATTTAATAGGATATGTTTTCTGGCGTAACATGGTCAGGCTTTATTTAAGCAGCAAAGTTCCAAAATACTGTAAGGCCTCCCAAGTTGGATTGCTTTTTGCTGCTGCTTGCCTCAACTCTGTGGCAAAAAAAAATATACATGGAAATGGATTAAAACAAATATAAAGTCCAACATGTGTTTTTTCTGTAGAAATTAGCTGATTGTTTTTGAGGTAACATAAACCCTGTTTCAAATATATTAATCTGTACACACTTTGAGTTAAAGTGTATCTTCAGGTGTCTGCTGAAAGGGTGGGGTTCTCCTATCACATGCAGCATGCACAGGTTTTCATGTGGCTTCATTGTTTTGGGGAGAGGGGAGAAATAGACATTCTTCTGTACTTGATGCCAAATTTAAGTGCCTCTGTATGGCCTAAATAGCTTATCTTCCCTGATTTAAGGGATCAGGCAACTACTACTTGCAGTATGGCCTTAGACAATGCTTGTTCGAATTCAGTCTACCTAGTGGAGTGATTGGACAGAGCTAACACTACTGCAGGTGTTCCGAAGTTCAGTTTTGTTTTGTAAGCCCAAAAGTGTTTTTTATCTTTCTTACCTAGAGTTCCAGAATTCTGCACATTAAATTGATGCTTTCTTCTGTCCATCCATTTTTTTTTTCTCCCACTCTTTTCTCTCCCTTCTTATCAAAACCACTTTTCTTAGGAGGTTGAAGCACTTTTCAAAGGAGATAATTTGCCTAAGTTTATCAACTGTGAGTTTGCCTATAATGACAACTGGTTCATCACGTTTGAATCAGAAGCTGATGCACAGCAGGTAACATTTTTGAAGCATTTTAGAATATAACAGTAAATAAGGGTGGGATGAGGGTGGATTGACGGGTCATAAACTGCATTACAAATGTGTAGCAATTTAAAAAGCAAAATACCCAAACCTCTGAAAACCATCTTCCCCTTAGCTAATGTCTAGTTATCAGTACTATTAAACATAACCTTGTAAGAATTTTATGTTGTTTGCCTATGCTGGCTTCCTAGACAAATCTTTAAGTTTTTCGTACTAAGAACATTGATCTTTTGGATGACACATTTAAATGCTTCAATCACAGGAGTTAAAATCCTGTTTTAATGCTACTGAAGCACTTCTGCAATGATAACTTAAATCTTGCCAAATGCAGTTTAGATATGAGGGTTTTCTATAGTCTAGCAGACACTTCAAGAATTATTGTTAGGATTAGCCTGTCAAAACTTAAGTTTCCTTTGTTTAAATTATATTTGACAAATTTTATAATTACTTTCTTTAAAGGCTTACAGATACCTTAGAGAAGAAGTGAAAACTTTCCAAGGAAAACCAATTAAGGTAAATAGAGCTTTATGGTTTTTTTGGGGGTATGTGTGTATATGTTCTGGTTTTTGTGGGCCTCACTGTTTTCTAATATAAATTTTAAGTGGTCCAATCTCAGCAGCTATTTGACCGGGAGATGGGTTTTGAAAAGTAGCTCAAGCCATTTTACTTCTCCTTTTCCTCCTTTCTGTCAGCGGTATATCTGTCCTAGCATCCGGCCAGCAGGGAAGCATTCATCTGTTCCTGCCTTCCTTGAAGGAGAAAGCAGTGACTGACAAGTGTCCAGTAAAAGTTCGAGAGCTGCTAGTTTGAACCATCCTGATTTAATTGGAAAGGTTGCTGTAATAAATAATCTAATCTCCTTTCAGGCAAGGATAAAAGCAAAGGCAATAGCTATAAACACATTTTTGCCAAAGAATGGATATAGACCTCTGGATATGAACCTCTACACGCAGCAGCGTTACACAACATCCTTTTACTTACCTCCAGTATACAGTCCCCATCAGCAGTTTCCATTGTACAGCTTAATTGGCCCACAGACCTGGTCAGCCACACACAGCTACCTTGACCCTTCATTGGTAAGTCTCTTGATTATGAAACAGTTGCATTCTTTTCAAAGTTGGTATTATTTTCTTATGAAGTGTTGAGGTGTAAAAAGCATATGTATCCTGAAGAGGGGAGTTGAAGGTACTGATTCTTCTTAAAAAACAGTTCTGCAGAATTCTTTCTGTGGTGTACAAGATTAATTACTTGAAAATTGCATCTGGTCTCAGACTGCAGTGTGTTTCTCTTAACCTTTTAGTTTTTGAGGTAGTTCTTTACTAAAGGTTATTAATTAACCATTATCAAAAGAAATCTTCAGTAAAGACTTCCTTTAGTAATGGTTAAAAGCCTCTTTAGAAATTAGATCTTCAGAATATATATGTGAATACCAGAAAAAGCAATTCTGGTATGTACTGAATAAACTTAATGGAATCAGATAAATAAGGATAACTTAGTATCTTGATCTTCCAGCAGGAAAATAAGTTCTAGGTTAACATGCTGAATTACCCTATTCAGCATGTTCTTAAAGCAAAATATTTTCTGTGCAAAAGTAACATATTTTTTGGCAATAAAAAATAAAATTACTTCTGCTAATAAAAATAATTCACTTTTAAATTGCTTAATTTTAAAAAGTTTTCTTAAAGGGGCTGTTGGCAAGCCTTAGAGCTAGGGTGGTAGCAGTAAGTCTTTAATACACTCTAACAGGACATCTTCTGCATCCTGCAGTGCTGCTTTTCGTCTTCTCCTCCATTGTGACAGTCGCATCAGAATTACCTTGGCCCCTTTTAGTCTGCCTTTGTTATCCTACAAAAACTAATATGAACATAGTTTTCTGTAATGGCTGGAAGACTAAGGTTGTCCTATGTGGAACCTCTTTCTCCCTTCTAAATGCCTCTTTTCTTGCGGCTAAAAGAAACTAGGGTAGCAGTGCTCAAAATTAGAAGCATTTTGGAGGTTTTTTGGCAGAGGATTAAAGTGTCCTTGAACAAACTTGAGCAAACTTCCGGTGTACTGAACAGCAAGCTAATTAAAAAGTTGGTGTGCTGAACATTTCACACACAGGGAAGGTAGCCAGAGCCCTTGCAGGGGAAGGCTTTTTAAGGGGGATGAAGAATGCAGAGGAAACAAGGTAGCATAGTGAATGATGTTATTCCAGGAGAAAGCCACGTTATTAAGCAGCAATGAGTGTGATTCTTCCTCTAGATAAACTAAGACTGACTATTGCAGTCTTGCTGTGGGATAGTGAAGTAGTTGGATGGCACTGGTGTAGAAGACATAGATTAATTGGCCACAGGTTCAAGCCCAGCATTGTGTGTGTCTGCCTTACATCATCCTGGAACAACTTGTATTCCAGAAAGCTTACTAGTCCTGGGCTTTGGGGGAAGGTATTACAAGTTTGCCAGCATTAGAGATCTCATACTTTTCCTAGTAAAAACAGAAAATTAACTAGCAGAGCTTTGCCTCCCACCGTTTTGCAGCATATTGTCATTGGTTAGCTGCATTTCGTATACGTTAATGTAATACGATGTTTCTTGAACTTTTTATAGGAAGAACTATATTTGAATAGAAACTTCTTGTGAGGAGAACAGGGACCACAGGAATAACGACACAGGAATAATTTTCAAGAGACAGGGTTGCAGTTTGCATGTAGATACATGTGTGCAAATATAGCAGAAGTTTCTCTCCTCTTTTGCTTTGGTAGAAACACTAACAGTGCTTTGTCTCATCTCTAATTTGAGATTAAATACGCCCAGCAGTGGTATAGTTAATTCTGAAACTAGAATATGGCAACACCTGTCTTCAAAATTCTAAAACTACCTACTTCTTCATCAAGTACTTAATAGTATTTGAGGAAAGAGCTAGTTTGTCCTGCTTGTAAAAACAATAGGTGTACTTTTGATGAGCCAGATGACTTCTGTGGAGAAAGCAAATTGATGCTTTTGGTATTATTGGAAAATGAAAATTATATTTTCCCTTCAAAAAGATCACCAATCCTTATAAAGAAAGAAGAGGTAAATATTGATAGTGTCCTTTTAAGCAATGAGTTAAACTTGTTTTCCTTTAGTATGTTCAATGTCTTCTCGTTATTTGGGTTCAGTAGTAGCTTACTAGCTTTGATTGAATTTTACAGCATTCAGGTTGTAACTATTAAATCAAAAAGCACTTCAAAACAGTATTTTGATGAAACTTTGTTCCTAAAATAGCTTTATTAAACTCCTAATGGCCTATTTTTGGAGTTTGCAGTAGCATTTGCTGTCATGTGTGCTAGGTTAGGCTAACAGTAGTTTGGCATGACAGTTTCAGTGTTAAATTTCATTTTTCATTGATTAGTGCTTTGCTTTAACTTTTGCAAGAAAGGTTAGACAGACTTAAAGATACCTGTATAGGAAACAGTCTTAATCCCAGCTGTTTCTCATTGTTTAATTAAGTGTAGAAAGAGTGCTACATAGAAGTCTTACTGTTCTGCATTTTAGTTATTTTCAGGGGGAGAAGATGAGCAAGCATTTGCTGTTGGTAATAATAACATTTTCTAAATGAAACTCCTTCATACATTTATTTAAAAAAAAAAAAAGTGTGGTAGTGAAGTTGCAGAAATTACTATGAACATGCTTCAGATTTTGAGATATGATGTTAATACAAGACATTGATCTGCACCCACCCCAAAAAATCTGTTGCTAATGTTGCTTCTTCAGGTGACAAGACAGTAATTCACACCTAGAATAAGGTGGTAAGATGTGAAAAGAATCAGAGGTCTACTTAACATCCACTTATTCTCTAGGCTTTATTTAGGTATTACGTGGAAGATAAGTAGAATAAGGAACTAAAAAGACATTTTTTTCTTTTGGGGGAGGGATTCACATATAAATTATAAGAAAAACAATTACAGATTGTTTAGGTTAGAGGGTCTTTGAGGAAGAAGTATCTCTGTAGTCTGAAGTCATGCATGGTATGGTGCGAAATAGAAGGAGTTACTTAATTTACAGCCAAGAGTTTTGGCTCTATGTTTTTCAGTCCTCTTAACAAATGCTCTATTGCTGTTCGAGCCAGTCTTATACGTACTGCCCTGCATAGAATGACATAAAATATGGGGTTAAGAAAAAGCGGTACTCAGTTTGTTTATAATTATGACCATGCAATATATCCTTTAGGTAACACCATTTCCAAATACTGGATTTATCAATGGGTTCACATCTCCAACCTTCAAGCCTGCTGCTTCTCCATTGACTACACTCAGACAATATCCCCCCAGGAATAGGCAAGTTGAGCCATCTTTTGACAATACTACTTTATTATCTGGCATGTGGGGTTTTAATCTTCTTATTTTAGTAACACCAGCTAACTTGAAAATACTTGTGAAATTGAACCTGGTGCAAGGTTAAGTGAGGCCAAAGGGCAGATGGTGCTGCTATTGTTAGTGGATGTGCTGTTTCTAAATGTAAATGGACTGTCTGAAAGCTGAAAACTTGTCTGTTCCATGATTTAGGGTATTCAGATGAAATATTCTGAAGGATGGCATGTGATCAGCAGGATTATTCATACAGTATTTTCAGTTTCCAGTAGTTTTTAGTAAAGGCATAGCTGAAAATAGACAGTGAAAAGGTTAATTTTGATGAATCACATGACCTGTTAAGGTGAATATTTATCATTCTTATAAATGAAATATGCAATAAAGGACTAAATGTTTTGCTGCTTCTGAATTCTGTGTATAGACTTAGGCCTCAGAAGATATCTCATAGTACGTATGTTGAAATGACTTTTGAATTTGTAGGAATCCTAGCAAGTCTCATATACGACATACAATACCCAGTGCAGAAAGGGGACCTGGGCTTCTAGACAGTCCTACAATATTCAACTTTTCTGCTGATCGTTTAATCAATGGCGTCAGGAGTCCACAGACGCGGCAGCCGGGACAAAACAGGACACGGATGCAGAATGCTACTACAAGCTATACCAAGAGGGAAGTAGGAACTGGACGGATGGAACAGACCAGCGTTGACTCATCTCCTGGATTAGGTAGAGGAAGGTGAGTGTATTCTGTAGCTGTCCTCTGAACAACCTGGTATTGCTGCTTCTAAACTATTTCTTTTAGTAAAGTGGTATGGTACTAGTACTGTTCTCATTACTATTTTAAACTGAGACTGTGTCTCCTCAAAGCTGAAATCTTGGAAAGTACTTCAGAGAAAGTGCTAAATATAGAACAAATGCCAAGTGGACTTGCATGCTTTCCTACCAAATGAAAATCATTAATGGCAACTGATGAACAATTTACAGCCATAAGATCTAATTCTCCATCATTTTTTCATCTGTTGTAAGAAAGTTTTTGCATATTATTTGATGACTTCAGTGAAGCTGTTGTGCCCATTCCATTGTTCAGCAGTGTAGATTGTGCAGCTGAACCTGTACTAGCAGTGCTCATTGTTAATTTTTTCAGTTGAAAGATCAGAATTTGCCCTAATCAGACATTTGCAACAACAGAAATGATGGATTGGTATGGAGGGGTGGGAAAGGATTACATGCAACTAAGAAAACTGTTGTTATGCAGTTAAAAAAAAAAAAAAAAGAAAAAAAAAAAAAACCACCAGAAAGAACCAAACCAAAAAAAACTCACTCGGGGAGCTGAAAATTGGTGTCACCAATATTAATATAAGAATTTAGCAGGGTTATCTTGGAACTTTTTAAATACAGTACAGTTTTAATAAGTGCTTTATAAAAAGTACTGTGTAGCTTTGTTTAATGATGCCTGTGTTTGTCTCAAAGTAAATCACATTTTGAGTGACTTACTGAATTGGAAGATAACTCAAGTCTTTTGCAGATGATGCTATATTAGACTTGTATTGTATCACTGCAAAATTAAGTGGGGATTTTGTGCAAAGACTGTAATACTTTTCTAAATCTAATTTGCCAAACTGTGTTATAACTAGTGGATGAAAGTATGATTAAGGACATAGGAAACAAGATTGCTCAAACTATAGACTACAAAAATGTACAGGAATAGTCAGTACTTGTATTCAACACCGAACATCAGAATATAAATCTATTTAGAGTATTAAAAGTCAAACAGAAAACCTAGAAAATACATTGAAACTGAGTTAGAATGTATTGCAAATTTTAAACTGATGCTTGGAGGGGCTTTACCTGAAGTAGGGCTGGGGGAGAAGCGCTGAAAATGTTTTGGAGGGGCTTTACCTGACTTGAAAATAGTTAGCCATATTTCAAAAGTTACATAGGTATCAAAAAAGAAAAAAAGGCAAAATTAAAGCCTTCACTTTGGATATTGAAAGGTTTTGTCTAAACCTCATATGTATTCGGCACTGAGACGCTTTTAATACAGGAATTATTTGTAACCAGTGTATTTTTATGCTGACTTGTATAAGATCTGTACCTTTGTTTTAATGAGAGCTTGCTAGAAATTTTTACCTAAAACATTTTTTTTTCCTAATAACCTGTCTAGAATGAAGATGGATGAAATAGCAATTTGAATTAATTTCTCCTGTTTTCACCAACTGCCTTCCATTCATGTATAGGCAAGGTTCTGATAACTGCTTTCTTTCCCTTAGGAAAAACTCATATGGCTACCGAAAGAAAAGGGAGGACAAGTTTACAGTGAGTGTTCATGATCATATTCATCTGTAATAAAAGTAGGGTAATAAGGCAATAGTATGGATATTATGTGGAGTAGCAGGTGAGACCAGTTATTGCACAAGCAGTTGTATGTCACAGTTGACTGAAGACAGCAGCTCATAAGTCATGAGTTCTGCATTTGGGTATCACAGAAGATTGTCCATCAGTGCAGAAGTTAGGAAAAAGTTAAAATTACTGCTTTATAGTAGCAAAAAATTTCCATCTTAGTGTTACTTTTTCAGCATGCCAGTGTTCATGTTAAGGGAGAGCTAAACGGCTAAGCTAAAGTTCAAAACACTTGATACCTGATTATCATTCATGTAGACATTGAAGAACATTTTACAGATCCATGTGTCATAATGTGTAGCTAGAATATTAGTTACTAAATCGTCAATTCTGTTTCTTAATGCCTCTCAAGTACCACTTGGTAAGTGTATACTAACACTATTGAAATATAACAGTTTTGGTAAACTTAAATCCAAGGTGAATACCTTAATAGCCTTGATGCTTGAAAAGGCTGGACTAGACATTGTGTAGAAGAAAAAAAATGTAATTTTTTTGGTAGGACTTAAAGTTTGATTTGATACAACCAGACACTTCTCTGCAATTCATTTTTGCCACACATGGCTTGTTCATGAAGTTGAACTGGATTATTTCCTTATTCATGTCACAATTGCAAAGTAACCCCACTGCATGAGCCATAACACTTTCTTAAAGGTCTAGAATTGTTGCATTTGTGTATTTGTGGCTCCTGCTGTTGAGTAGCCTTAGGGGATTTGGATGAAGGAACATCAAGGTTTGGAAAGTATAAAACAACAAGCGGTTCCTTGCCTTCAGTTGCTTTTAGTTCTTGTCAAACTTCTCAAAACTCAGTGAGATCAGATTACATGTAGGATTCTCAATACTTCTTTCTTTTGCCCTTTCAAAGCTGCTTGAATTTTTAGATTGATGTTTTCCTATCAACTTTTTTGTCTGTCTTTGAAAAGAACAAAGAAGTGGTACAGGTTAGGCATGTGAGTGGCTGGACTGAAAGGATTACCTTGAACACACTTACTGAGCAGAGAGGCTCTTCTGACTCAGCTGAATTTCAGGTTATTTTAACTTTGAATGTAAAACTGGTAGACATGACTTCTTTGGAGACGCACAGTTCCCTTCTCTCAGCACCAGGCTTTAATTGCAGCCTGTGCAGCCAGGTTTCTTCTAGTCTCTTCTGGCCCATGAATCTTTAGTCTGTACTGTCCAGTGATGCAGTTTGAACAGAGGTGAGAGTTGCTGTGCACCCACAGCTGTGTACACTGGGAAGGAGCGTACTCTGAAGTGAAAGATTAAAATTTGACTGCTTTAAACTGGAAATAATTGAATCCAGGATTCTCTTTCTTGTGTGATGCTGTAGTGATTAGATAGTGTATGTAGGACATCATTACAACCAGTTGTATTTGAATGGAGTGATGGCTTCTTTAGATTTTCTTTTTTTTTTTAAAAGGAAAAATAATAGAGAGTTATACATGCTTGCATGAGAGAGAGCATGAAACTTTTTGATCTGATTGTATCTGAGGCTATAGACATAAGCAAATTACTCAACTTGTCATAACAAGTTGACTTGAGAAATTGTATGCAGTTGGCAGCTTAAATTCCATTTAAGCCCTCCCTGGTCTCACTAATTTAAAATGTTAATGCTGCTTGTCTCTTAATATGTTGGGATTTTTAGGACTCCCCTGCATAACTGAAAATGTTTGTAACAAATATAAAAGCATTATCTATTTCAGGACTTCAGTCCCCTTTAAGAAAACTAAGTGCTGTGATTTGAAGAACTGTTGTAAAAAATAAATAAATAAAGGTTGTTCCTCTTGCAGTTTGAGCTGGATAAGTGTAGTCTGTCTCCATGACTCTTTGACAGGTCACCTGACTTCTGGCTCTGCAGCCTCCATTGCTGTAGCGCTCTCAAACTGTGTTATGGGGGGTAATGCTGGGTCAGTAGCAGTCCCAGGAGTTGCAGTTGTCCTTGCCTCTGTATTTATTCTTTCCCTACTTCCCTCTCGACACACACTTCTTTTGACATAAACTGTAGTTTGTGAAAAGACCTCAAAGGTAGTTTTGTATCTATTGCTCTTCATGAGAAGGAAGGGAAAAAAACAGTAAGTAATGCAACACCTTTCTGTCTGGAAGCATTGTTCTCAGATTCAGACCATCTTGGCTATATACCCGTAAATATTTTCCTTTTCAAAATAGCAATCGTCTCAAAGACTGCTTTGCATTTGGTATTCTGCAGCAGAGATCATCTTAGCACAGGCCTGAGCACAGTTACTTCTTCGTTTACATGATGTAGATGAAGTTAATTGATAACTTCAGTTACAGCATATTACAAAAGGAATTTTATTTTTTTAGTGTAAATAGAATTTAGCTTTACAAATCCTTACAAGCCGTCCGCACAAGTGATCTTTAACTGTGGTACTCTTAACTCCTGAACTGCTGTCTGTAGTGCAAAATAGTTGCATTTAGCCCAGTGATTTTTTTTTTTTTTTTTTTTTTTTTT